GGGCGTCACTAGTGCGGAGGTGAGTAATGAGGTCAGCGACTGTGGCAAAAGCGGCAAGGTCAGGGAACAGGTATGGCAGCATGAGGCGGCTGAGGGCAGCAGTGGAAGGGGAGGAGTAGCGCGCAACTACAGCGTCGTACAAAGACTGAGCAGTCTTGTACTGGCCAAAGTGCGCGCGCTCAGCAGACGGCAGGTAACTACGAACAGCAAGGCGAGCAACAGCGTCACGAGTGGTCCACTGTGAGCAAACCGTACTGTCAGCAGTGGCAGCAGGTGCACTAGAGACACCGGACGTGTGATCGAAAAGGGATACCCCGTCCCTAGAGTCACACTGAAGAAAGAGCTGCAGGTCGTCAACCCACACATCAAAGTCAACTGCACGCCCCTCAGCATCAAAGGTAAGAACAGTAGGGCTAGCCATAGCGGCAGTAGCAGCAGGAGCAGCAGTAGCAGCAGTGGCAGCTGAAGCAGCAGTAGCAGCAGGAGCAGCGCAGGCAGGGCAGTGCGGCGCGGCTCGGTAGGGCGGCACGGCTCGGCTTGGCGGCGCGGCTCGGCTCCTGGCGGCGCGGCGCGGCAGGGCGGCGCGGGTGCTTACCAGGGGCGGGTGCAGGGCAGGGCCGCAGCCAGTGGTTTAGGTCAGGGCCGCGACTGGGGCGGCAGCAGGGCAGGGCCGCGACAGGGCGGCTGCAGGGCAGGGCCGCGGCGGGCGGCGAAGGCAGGGCCGCAACAGGGGCGGCAGCAGGGCAGGGCCGCGACAGGGCGGAAAAGGCAGGGCTGCGACGAGCTGCGACGGGCCAGCGACGGGCGGCTACGGGCCGGTGATGGGCGGCAACGGTCCGGGACGGGCCGGCGACAGGCCGGGACGGGCTGGGACGGGCTAGCGACGGGCGGCAAAAAGCAGGGCCGCGACAGGGCGGCGGCAGGGCAGGGCCGCAGTGGGCGGCGAAAGCAGGGCTGCGACGAGCGGCTACGGGCCAGCGAAGGGCGGCGACCGGCTGGGACGGGCCGGGACGGGCCAGCGACGGGCGGCGAAGGCAGGGCCGCGACGGGCCAGCTAAGGTAGGGCCGCGATGGGCCGGACTAGGGCAGGGCGCGAGGCGCGCTTCGAACAGGGCGCGAGGCGCGCGTCGGGCAGAAAAAAAAATCGTGGTGGGCCCAAAGAAAAACGTTCCTACTAGGGAACCTGCTCAGAATATCATGTCAGAATAGTGAACGAATGAATGACTAAACTAGAAAGCAGGTGGGTACAAGTAGCAAACCTAAAAGTGTTGTACCCTATATGAACTACCCCACTACAGCCTAAACAAACTATAGCATATAAGTTTGACAACTTTCTCGAGTGGTGCGTAGGCTGGCGCGCTTGGATTGTGGTGAGGGACAAGTGGTTGATGAGGTAAGTCAGCTTCGGGGCACGTAAAGCATGTGCCTCGAACTCGTTGGAGTTCTCTGCCGTCGGGTAGAAGGAGTGAATCTTTGTCGAGTACTGCCGCCTTGATCGTGTTATTTAACGTTGTGTTGCTTGGGTGTCCCAGTCGTTCGTGCCACAGTGATTCGCTCGCACGATGTCCTGGTGAGCGCCTGTACAGGTCGGAGTTGGAATAAAATCCCGCGGTGAAGTTGGCGCTTCTGTGAACTTTGCGTGGAGTGGGAGTTAACTGCTGCGCATGAGTCGGTGGAGTGTTGTCGATGAGAACTGGTGCCGTTGAAGAACCTGCAATTGGTGCCGTAAGTGTTGCTGCTGCTGCCGATGTTGTCTCCGCTGCTGTTGATGTTTCTTCTTGTCGGATTGTTGCTAATGCCCTTGTCCTTTCTGCTTCAGGCATGGTATGTGAATACCAGAATCCTCCGGGACTGAAGTCGGGATCGAGGTCCGGTGGATGTGTCCAAGAAGTGAAGTTGACGATGGCGTCGCTATCGGAGGTACCTTGGTCCGGGACGAAGTCAAGAACAAAGACGTTGTTCTTCAAGACTGCTCTGCTGATGTAAAGTCCGCCCTTTCCGTGGAATAATTTGAACTCCTGAGTGGTGCTGTCTGCTTCGAGATGGATACCCTTCGCCATCAGTTGACTGACGCTGCGTAAGTTGTAGCCGAGTCCTTCTGCAATTAAAACTCTGGATATTTGTAAGACGACGTTTGTTTCTCGAGACTGAAGTTGTACTATCCCTTGTCGTCGTGTGTGCAGGTTCTGGTTGTTGGCCATGGTGATGACAACTTCGCGTTGAAGTTGATGTTCTTGTTGAACGAAGCAACCCGAGGAACACATGTGCTGTCCGCAGCAACTGTCCAAGAACCAGGTGTCTTGTCCGGACGGCTCGCTCTAGGCGATGGCTGCATACGTCGGGTTGGGCTCCAGTGATTTGCGGCGATGAGTTCTCTCATCGAGCTGTTCTTCTGGTGAGTAGTGGGGTGGTGATCCGGTGATGCAGGAGTCTTTTGTTCTTGTCATGCAGCTCACGATGTTTCTTGTTCCTTGTGCAGGTTTTGTCGTTGAAGATGTTGAAGACTGCACTTGACTGTGGGATGGGCCTGCGTAGAAGCTACTTGACTGCTTGAAGGCCGAAGTTGACGTTGCGGCATTGTCGACTGCTGCTGATTCGGGCAGTGTGTGCGAGGATGTCCAGACGTCTTGCAGAGGTGACAAAACGGTGGGACGTAGTGTTGAGTCTGACGGTTGTTTTGTCGATTGCTGTTGTTGTTGTAGCGTCGTTGAGTATGGAACGCGAATTCTGGTGCTGACGCTTTCTTCTTGTGTCTTTCCTTGTGCAGATCCATATCCTGTTGTTCAGCGTGAATTTCGGCGCAGAGTGCTACTTTGGAGATCTTCCTGTGAGCTCGAAGGAGTGCTCGAGTGGAGCGCCAATAAGGACCGAGGCCGGCGATGATGACTGTTACGAAGGCTTCTTCGGATATTGCTCCTCCGCATCGAAGAAGTCTGTCGCACAGTCCGCGACAACGGCTGATATACGCCATTCCTTTTTCGCCGGGTTTCATTTCCACTGTTGTCAGCTGTGCCATGAGGCAACTTTGATTAACACTGTCTGTTGCTTGATACAGGTTCTTCAGGTGGTCGTATGCCAGCTCGGCGGAGTTGCCGTATCCTCGATAAGACCGAATGTTCTGCTGCTCGTTTGGCGTTAAATTTCGAAGAAGTATCGTGTACGCCATCAGTGATTGATACGTGTACTGCTGTTTGTCATACTGTGTCCCATGTGCTGGATATGGTAGGGATCCGTCGAAGAATCCGAGAATTTGCGCGCCCTCCATCATCAGCTCGAACTCAAATGACCAGGTACAGAAGTCCTTTCCGTCGAAGAGCGTTGACGTTTGTAGTTTTAACACGTGTGCGAATTGTGATTGAACTTGAAGTGTGTCCAATGTCTTCTCTTGTCCAGGTGAAGACTCTGGTTGTGGCGCGAAGCTGATGGAGCCACGTTGAGGCTCGTACGGAGCAAAGGTGGGTTGCTGCTGATTTCCGCGCGCATAAGAGGAACCGTCAAGGCTCATCGGTATTGCTCTGTTGTTCTTGTCGCTGTTGTTTGATTGTGCAGGAGCTGCTTGCTGGTGTTGCTCGTAGAAGGACATGAAGGAGAAGAACTTCTCCATCATATTTGGGTAGAAGCTTGCTGCTTGGTTCCCGGGAGTTTCGGTTGACTCCGCAGCTGGTCTTGTTGCTGTGCCTTCCTCTGTCTGTAGGCCAGAGGCTGGAGGTGGAGTAGGAGTAGTGCCGAGAGATCCATAAGAGGAGCTCATCTCCTTCTGTGTTGCCATGTCTTGCGTTGTTGTAGGTTTTTGAGAAATCGATATTGCCGTGTTAGCTCTGATACCATGTAGGGCTGAGAAAAGCCCTTAGGATCTTTCAAGGCTAGGATCGGGGTTGAAGTAGGAATGTTGTGGTTGCGGAAGCGTTTAATATAAGAGTTGCTGAACCACCTTGCACAAGTGTATGAGAACAAGATAAGTTGATAATAGCAAAGAGATACAAGCTTTTTATATGATTACAAAGGAATATGAAAAGTTCTACTTTAACTGTTTTTGCTGTTGCGGTTCGATACAGTGCCGACTCGGGTAACTGCTCAGTAACGAGTCAGTTATGTGTCCTTGCTGTCGCACTGTACTTTTCGTCAAGTCAAATGTCAGCAACCTTTGACCTTCGCGTAACCTCCAGCGGTTGCTTTTGTTGACTCGTGTGTTTCTTCGCTGTAGTCCGCTCCGTTTCGTGTCGACACTTCGATACTTCAGAAGCGTTTAAGTTACTTGTTTCCAACAACTTCATGTATGCCAACTCCTTCGTGCACCCTCTCTCTTTCGTATGGAACAATAAGAGCTTTCCGTACCACTCCGTCTCTGCACCCGCCGCTGTTGTTCCCATGATGGAAACATTAGAGAACTACGGCCTGGAGTGGGACAGTGGGGTTGTTTTCACGAAATGTGCTACACGGGAAAAACTAGCATCTTCTGCAGCAGGGATCGCAAGTGTTGTGTGAGCCTGCATCAATTAAGAGACATGTATCAGTACAAAGTAACCTTCATTTGCATATGGTATTTGGTTGATGTCAACAATATATCAACTTACACGAACTTTTGTTGGCCTCAGCAGGCGTCGAAGCAATGCACCCGCAAAGCCATGGTGTGCCTCGTTGCGGTCCTTCGCCCACTCACGGACAAACCAGTTGGCATAGGGAGTGTCATCAGCGGGGATCACGGGGAAGAAGTGGACCTCCTTCACAATCACCCGAGCTCCATCCTCGATTGCCTGACACAGGCCAAACAACGCAGAGAATGCAACATAAAAATCAGAATCGCATCAACCAGCAGAAACTAGCAACCTATCCTCCCCTTTCTCTTTCTTCCCTACCTGCGCTGCACTCCCCCTTTTGCTGCTCCCTCCCGTGACTGACGCTAACTCTTCCCCTGCTACCCCCCAATGAACTGCCGGCAAACATTCCTTGCCACCTAGCCCGAGGTGCCCTGCTCCCAGCTCCTCCCCTCTAAGCCCTCCCTACCAGGAACTCCTTCTCACATCACTCACAATCTCAGCACCTCCTCTCACATCACTCACAATCTCAGCACCTCCCCTCACATCACTCACAATCTCAGCACCTCCCCTCACATCACTCACAATCTCAGCACCTCCCCTCACAGAACTCACCATCTCAGCACCTCCCCTCACAGCACTCACAATCTATGCACCTCCCCTCACATCACTCACAATATCAGCACCTCCCCTCACATCACTCACAATCTCAGCACCTCCCTTCACATCACTCACAATCTCAGCACCTCCCCTCACATCACTCACAATCTCAGCAGCTCCCCTTACATTACTCACAATTTTAGCACCTCCCCTCACAGCACTCACAATCTCAGCACCTCTCTCAGCGCACTCACCATCTCAGCACCTCCCCTCACAGCACTCACCATCTCAGCACCTCCCCTCACAGCACTCACCATCTCAGCACCTCCCCTCACAGCACTCACCATCTCAGAACCTCCCCTCACAGCACTCAGCATCTCCGCACCTCCCCTCACAGCACTCACAATCTCAGCACCTCCCTCACAGCACTCACCATCTCAGCACCTCCCCTCACAGCACTCACCATCTCAGCACCTCCCCTCACAGCACCTTCTGTTTTAGCAGCACATCCTTTGGTGCTCCTTACCTTTTGCATAGCCGTTTGTACGCCGTCGGTAGGCACATTGCTGATGGAGTCTAGCTTCATCTCGTGGTGCTTCATGATCTGCGTGTCCACTTTCCGCTTATTCGATCTCCTATAGATCTGCTTCAGCAGCGTGCTATGCAGGTGTTCGAAGGGGTTGGTGCTGTACTCTTGCACATTCCCAGCTCGTCGAATTCCAGGAATGAAATGAGTCATCAAGTGTGTTTTGATGAGGTTCCAGTTTGATTTCTGCTCGGGGAAGGCAGCGGTGAGGAGTTCCACGAGCCTGGAATGGTGGGGGAGCATGATGATGAATGTAGTATAAGGAAAGGCGTGCTTGGAACCTCTGTGAGAGCAGTATAAGGAGAAGCGTGCATGAAACCTCTACGAATCACATAGGCAGTGTGACGGTCTAGGGTGTTTTGTTTGTGAGGTACCTTGCTGATTTGGCTTGTAGTTCGGTGAGACTTCTTTCAGTGTGAGTGGCGGCGGTGCAGCGTAGATACCAGTCAAGGTCAGCCACCAAAAAAATCAGCACCTGGAGGCATGCAGTACCATGTGTGGGACAACTGAGAGAGAGGCCACCACATAGAGTGCTGATTCGATATTATTGGTCATGACGGTGTACTGGCTGGTTTACAGTCGATCTTGGCAACGAACCAACACAGTGCTACAGCAGCATGAACCAGCCCACAAACATCCAGCCCACCAACCCAACTCCGCTCCCCTTCCTCTTCCCTCCCTGCCAAGCTCGCCCCACTCTTCCCACCTTCCCCCTTCCCCCTCTCCAAGGTATTCACCTCAAAGGATCATACCTGCATGACAGATTGGTGTTCAAAGGCTGCAACTTGTGCTCTCCGGGAATCGCAGAGAGTTGATAGGAGATGCCCGTGTACAGTAGGATCAGATTCTGGATGTGGGGGGCATAGGATCACGAAAGAATAAAGTTTATATGACGGACTACCATTTGGATACAGGTTAGCTTACAATTGTGTGCGTGACATGGTAACATCAACCACGGCTCATCAAATAGAGGCATCGTGCATTTCCAGCCGGGTTGGGCAAGAGGCACTCACAAATCCAGAATCTTCATCATCGTTGGGTGTTGGGCACGGATGCATCGCACGATGTGGTCCAGCATCCCCAGGTCTGCCTGGTGCATAATGTCCACCATGACAGCAAGGAGAGGATTTCCCAACGGCGATGAGCCAACCTGCCACTTCCATAAAGCACACTGTGCAGGTAGTACAGCAGGGAATGCAAAGGTTAGGGTGACACTTGACTGCAATTTTCCCCAAGAGGGTGCAGTGTATATGTGATGCATAGTGACTCCAGCTGGCATTCGATCAAATACTTACGTCGATGTCGAACGTCGAGTACAACTTCAGCGGATTGTCATCCGCTCCGGCAGCGACTCCAGCTGCCTCGTCTCTAACCCACTGTTGTTGTGTGGGTGTGCGAACGTTGTTGGGTAGCTCCACAGATGACAGGCTTTCCTGTGGTGGCCGGGGGTATTCATCGCACAAAGGGGACGAGCAATAAAAGCCATTAAACACGCACATACCCAGATATGAAATGCACACAGCCTTGTTTGCGGATGGGGCATAATTACATGCCTTGTCGACAAATCAGCGGGCTTCCACTACTCATCCACATGACTTCCCTCCCCATCACAGCACCTCCCTCCCCCTCCCAGCACTCACCCTACCAGCACTCACCATCCCAGCACTCACCATCCCAGCACTCACCATCCCAGCAATCACCATCCCAGCACCACACCGTCGCAGCACTCACCTCCCATCCCAGCACCACACCGTCCCAGCACTCACCCTCCCAGCACTCACCCTCCCAGCACTCACCATCCCAGCACCACACCGTCGCAGCACTCACCCTCCCAGCACGATCCATCCCAGCACCACACCGCCGCAGCACTCACCTCCCATCCCAGCACCACACCGGCGCAGAACTCACCCTCCCAGCACTCACCCTCCCAGCACTCACCCTCCCAGCACTCACCTCCCAACACTCACCCTCCCAGCACTCACCATCCCAGCACTCACTCTCCCAGCACTCACCATCCCAGCACTCACCATCCCAGCTCTCACCCTCCCAGCACTCACCCTCCCAGCACTCACCATCCCAGCACTCACCCTCCCAGCACTCACCTCCCAGCACTCACCCTCCCATCAGTCACCCTCCCAGAACTCACCATCCCAGCACCACACCGACGCAGAACTCACCCTCCCAGCACTCACCCTCCCAGCACTCACCATCCCAGCACTCACCCTCCCAGCACTCACCATCCCAGCACCACACCGTCGCATAACTCACCCTCCCAGCACTCACCCTCCCAGCACTCACCCTCCCAGCACTCACCATCCCAGCACTCACCCTTCCAGCACTCACCATCCCAGCACTCACCCTCCCAGCACTCACCCTCCCAGCACTCACCATCCCAGCACTCACCATCCCAGCACCACACCGTCGCAGCACTCACCTCCCATCCCAGCACTCACCATCCCAGCACTCACCCTCCCAGCACTCACCATCCCAGCACCACACCGACGCAGAACTCACCCTCCCAGCACTCACCCTCCCAGCACTCACCCTCCCAGCACTCACCCTCCCAGCACTCACCATCCCAGCACCACACCGTCACAGCACTCACCTCCCATCCCAGCACTCACCATCCCAGCACTCACCCTCCCAGCACTCACCATCCCAGCACCACACCGACGCAGAACTCACCCTCCCAGCACTCACCCTCCCAGCACTCACCTCCCAGCACTCACCCTCCCAGCACTCACCCTCCCAGCACTCACCATCCCAGCACTCACCGTCCCAGCACTCACCATCCCAGCACCACACCGTCGCAGCACTCATCCCCACCACGATCTATCCCAGCACCACACCGTCGCAGCACTCACCTCCCATCCCAGCACCACACCGTTGCAGAACTCACCCTCCCAGTACTCACCCTCCCAGCACTCACCTCCCAGCACTCACCCTCCCAGCACTCATTCCGTGAATGCCCTCTGTCTTGGCTGCCTGATTCATTCACTGGGGCAAATTAGCCAGAAAAGTCAACCGACAAGCCACGTGGAGCAAAAAACATGTGGCAATGAGAGCCGCTGTGTGAGTGGTGGGAAGCTTATCCTACTTAACGTCGTTTGTGCACTCTTTTGGTGTGATGAGATGCGCCTACAATGTGATGGTAGTCTGGTAGGCTGTGGCATGCGAGGAAAAAACAATGTGTCTCCGAAAAATAAAGGGGAGGATGGGGAGGGAGTTTGTTGTGCACCAGTTACCAAACACCCATGCAGCCTCTCGTGCTTACTTCCATCCAGCAACTCATGCAGCCCTCATGCATCCTACTTAAAACCCTTCCTTGCCATCCAACTTCCGCTCCACCAGCCCATATATCTGCCCCGTTTGCTGACATGGTTTCTCTATCTCTGTTATATCAGCCCCCATTCCCTTCACCATCTCCATAGTGCCACATTGTTATAATTATATTCTTATAACTGCGCGCGTACTAGTTAGTATCGTATCATGTTAGGTTTCTTTATGTTGGTGGTGTACCCCCCTTGCCACCTTCCTAACATGCACTTCTCATTATTGAAACCCCTTCTCTCACATTTCTCATGCTTCTCTCGTTCTTAAGCTTCCCAAGCTTAGTTCTCATCTTACAATGCTACCAGAGCAGTTTCTTTCCTAGAACCGTTTTTAAGAATCATGGGCCCACCCGTCACGCAGCCTGTAATGCGCCCCGCGGGTCCCCTAAGTAGCTCCTTAGACGACCCCCACGGGTCCCTCGTTTCGCGCCCCGAATGCCCCCCGATTCGCACCCCGAAGGCCCCTAGTGTTTCGCGCCCCGAAGGTCCCTCGTTTCGCGCCCCGAAGGCCCCCCATTTCACGCCATGAAGCCCCCCCCCCCCCCCCCCCCCGGATTCGCGCCCTGAAGCCCCCCCCGATTCGTGCCCCGAAGGCCCCCCAATTCGTGCCCCGAAGACCCCTCGAATCGCGCCCCGTGCCACGTAAGCACCGCAAACATCAGTAGTGAGCGATGCACGCCAACACACTATCAGCTGCAGTGCGCTCTGCCCGCCAGCGCACTATCGGCACCAGGAGCATGCGCCACCCTCCCCCCCCCCTCCCCTGCACCAGCGATGCCGCTGTCCCTCACCCTGCCGCGGCTTCCATCGTGTGGGGAGGGAGGGGGGGGGGGGGGGGGGGGGGGATGCGGGGATGGCGGGGGTGACCACCAAACCGCCAGCAGCTACCTCTCCTCCTCTCTCTCTCCCTGTAGCACTTGTCACTGTGGAGGGGGGGAGGGGGGAGACGTTGAGGGGGTGGTGAGAGAGAAAGAGCATCCCCTTTAATCGTGATACCATCTTTTTTTCTGTTTGCTGTCCGTTTCGTTCTCTCGTTTCGTCTCGTCCATCGTACAACAAGTCGCTGCCTTAGGTTCTGTCGTTTATAGGCATGTTCGCTCCCCTACGCACACACCGGGCACCTCCTGCGAGGGTTCAACTCCAGCCAGGCACCTGCCATGGGGGTTCAATCACGGTGGTTCAAGCTGCTGCTTGGTGACTGCACCTCTACGGGTGACTGCCCCTCACTAGCTAGTCTTGCATACAGTTAGTGTAGTATCATGGTAGGTTTATTTCTGTTGGTGGTGTACCCCCCTTGCCACCTTCCCTTCTATAACATGTACTTGTTCTCATTATTGAAACCCCTTCTCTCTCGTTTCCCCTGCTTCTCGCGTTCCCAAGCTTCCCAAGCTTAGTTCCCATCTTAACACGCATGACTTAAAGTATATGGTATATATATGTCTCGGGCGTTTGAATGGGACACGCAAACTTGGCTTTGCTCCAAACGAATCATCTAAGGTTGGTGATGTCCTATTAAATATGGTGGAAATGAGACAGTGGAGCACGGTCACAATTTGGCTAATATATACAAGCATCTATACAACACAACCAAATATAGAGACATGTTTTAGTACATACATAAATTATGTCTGCTGGCGAAGGCCCTCATGATGATTGGGTCTCATCCTCCATCTCCGCACGTCCGAGCAGGTTGGCATGATGCCTCATGATGAATGTGGCGGTGGAGGGGGTTGCTGGTGTGGTCACATCATTGGTGGGGGCGATCCCTGCTAGGGGAGTGGGAGGTGGCTGCATAAAGGACATGTCATGAGGGGATGGATCTGCTGTCCCCCGTGCTGGTGGGGCTGCTTGAGTGGGCTCTGGCGTAGGAGGGACTTCATCGTCTGGAATCTGGTTCGGCAGCTCATCATCATACTGTCCCATCGCTGGCGGGAATGCACCATTAGGCTCCAACCCAACATCTCGATATTCTGACATAAGCTTGTCCACTCAGCTCTAGTCCATGGCTTCTAAAAACTTGCTCGTGTTGCCATGCTGTTCTCTTGTCGTCTTTCAAACACGAGTCTTGATGGTGCGGACCAAGTGTAATACAGCTTGGTTCCAGTGCAGGTCCGAAAGGCCAACTCTCGCCACCATACTCCCCTGAGATCTCATACGCATCCTTGAACACAAGGGAATGGAAGAATTCAATAGCCCAATTATTCGCCCACAGCACATAAGAACCCATTTCTCTCCGACTACAATGATCAGCCAACCATATATTGAGTGCCATATGGGCCTAAGTGCTTGGTTTGTAAACGTCACTCTCACCATTGCTCAGTCACACACCTTAGTACCTCATCCCCATGCCCACAATTGGTGTGGTCCCCTGCCCAATGGTCCGCCGAACCTGCTAGTTCCTGCGCAACCATGTTGGCTGAAATGCATACTCCACCTTTGAGCCAGTGTCACTTCAGAGTACTCTGCTTCATCCGCTTCCGCTTCACCACCCCACTTCCGCTTCCTACTCCCCCTCTCTGTCCAACGCAAATTCTTAGACATCTCGTCGTATTGGAGTGGGTCCATGGGGACGGCTGTTAGAATAGTAGCTTGAGCTTAGGAACCATAGCTTGGGTTCTAGGTGCTAGCATGAGTGTCGAGAGAGTTTTGGGTGAGGAAAGTCGAGAAGGAGAATGAATGTGTTTCACTATAGAAAGTTGGGATACAAATAGCAAACCCTAAATTGGGTTATACTAACTACAGAGTATCCCACTGCAGGCTAGACAGCAAATACATTCTGACACACCCCCATAGTCAAAGTGGGTTATAATCATCAGAGCAAGCAGTCATAGAGCAGGTTCACCAGTACAAGCAAAGCTAGAGGCATTCACAAAGGGCAAGTGAGGAGGAGGAGGCTAGACTGTGAGAGGAGAGGAGATAGGAGGCGACGGCTGATGTTGCAGACACATGGGCAACAGGAGCGGCGCGCACGGTGGCTACCGGAGCAAGGGCCCCGGACTACAGGAGTAACTGGCTCTGCGGCTAACTCTGAGCGGCAGGAGCAACGGACCCACGGGCGACAGGCGCAGCAGGCTCTCTGAGCTACCAGCAGCAGAGCCCTGGACTACAGGTGCTGCGGACGACAAGACGGCAGCCTCCGCTCAACCTCCCCCAACTCTCCCACCCCCCTTTCACACACCCCTTTGCTGCACCCCTAGCTCCACTCCCACGTCACCCCCCTAGCACCACTCCCTCAGCTCCCACACACCCACCCCCCTCAGCGGCAGCTGCAGCCATGGGAGAGAGAGGCGGAGAGGCGGTAGCAGGTCACTCACACCCGCCACCCCCATACCCTCCCCCCACTGCTGCACCTGCAGCAGGGGGGATGGAGGAGAAGGGGGGGGGGGGGGGGGCTGGTGCTGCAGGTCCCCTCCCCCCACTGCTGCACCCGCAGCAGGGGGAGGGAGGAGAAGGGGGGGGGTGGGGGGGGGGCGGGGGGGGCTGGTGCTGCAGGTCCCCTCCCCCTACTGCCGCATCCGCAGCAGGGGGACGGGGGGGGGGGGGTCGGTGCTGCAGATCCCTTCCCCCCCACTGCTGCACCCGCAGCAGGGGGAGGTAGGAGAAGGGTGGGGGGGGGGTGGGGGGGGGGGGGTCGGTGCTGCAGATCCCCTCCCCCCCTCTGCTGCACCCGCAGCAGGGGGAGGTAGGAGAAGGGTGGGGGGGAGGGGGGGGGGGCTGGTGCTGCAGATCCCCTCTTGCCTCCCCCTGAACCTCCAAGCTCCCCCCCCACCCACTTCTCCCAACACAAGGTGCGGCAGGGAGAAAGAGAGGAGGAGGCGTGGTGGCAGCTGCCGCTGCTGAGGCACATCTGCCACCCCCTCACACCCTCTTCCCCCCGTCCCCATGGAGGGGGGGGAGGGGGGCGGGGGCGGAGCTGCACGTGCGACTGCAGGGCACGCGGGCAGGAAAAACCCCTACTTGCCACCCCCTTACCTTCCATAATGTGACGGGGCACCGGGGCTGCAGCTAGGGGCCACAGGTCTCGAGGGGCCGAGGCTAGAGGCAACGGGGCCGTGGTTAGGGGCTGCAGGTCGCGAGGGGCCATAGCTAGGGGCAACGAAGCCAGTGGGGCCGAGGGGCGCGGCTAGGTACGGGGCCGGGCGCTGGGCTAGGGACGGGGCCGGGTGCTGGGCAGGTACGGGGCCGGGCGTTGGGCGCGGGCTAGGTACGGGGCCGTGCGCTGGGCTAGGAACGGGGCCGGGCGCTGGGCGAGGGACGGGGCCAGGCGCGGGCTTGGTACGGGCCAGGCCTGGGCTAGGTACGGGCCGGGCGCGGGCTAGGTACGGGCCGGGCGCGGGCTAGGTACGGGGCCAGTCGCGGGCTAGGTACGGGCCGGGCGCGGGCTAGGTACGGGCCGAGCGCTGGGCGAGATACGGGCTGGGCGCGGGCTAGAGACGGGGCCGGGCGCGGGCTAGGTACGGGCCGGTCGCGGGCTAGGTACGGGCCGGTCGCGGGCTAGGTACGGGGCCGGGCGCGGAGCTAAGGGGCGACGGGGCCGGGGGGCCGAGCCTAGGGGCTAGGGGCGACGCCAAGGGGCGACGGGCTGGGGCCTAGGCTAGCAGGGCAGTAGGTTGTGGGTCCATTGATGTGAGGTCCTAGGAACGACCTACTCTAATAGCATGT